AAGTTCTCTGGTTTTACGTTGTACTTCCGCCATCGCCTTGGCATGGGCTTCTCTCTTTATATTACAATTTATGTCATTCTGCCAAGCATGAAATGCCATCCTCGTCTCATTGATGAGTTGCTCAATTTCAGCATCATTCTTGTCAAACCAGTCCTGATGTTTTCTGGTGTGGTAGCCTATGGTTTCCTCACAGGCATTGGTGATTACTGCTTTCAACTGGCTCCAATGTTCCTCAATTTCTTCTGGAAACTCTGATGGGAGCTTTTCTTCTAAGACTGCTTGGAAGTGGTCATGCTTAATAGGGTGCTTCAAATCTTGAACCTTCAGCTTGCGTCTGACCTGCTTCTTTTGCAGCCTCCATTTGGGAGCGATCTTAATTTTCATTGTGGATCGAATAAGGCGATGATCAGTCCAATAGTCATCAGCACTTGTCATTGCTCTTGTGAGAAGTACGTCACTACGATCTCAGGTACGAAATATGACGTAGTTGAGGAGATGCCGATGCTTTGACCGTGGGTGTCTCCAAAATGTTTTGAACTTTTCCTTTTGTCGGAAACGGGGGTTGGTAACAATAAGTTCATGTTCAGCACACTTGGTCAGGAGCAGAATTCCATTTGAATTACTTTTGCCAACTCCTTCTTTCCCAATTGTTCCTTTCCACAGGTCTGAGTCTTGTCCCACATGTGCATTGAAATCCCCCAGAAGGATGATCTTGTCTGCTGTAGGGGTCTCCGATAAAATGGTTTCCAACTGAGAATAAAAATCTTCTTTTACATTTTCATCCACATCCAGTGTCGGTGCATAGGTGCTCAAAATAGTTGCCTGTTGATTTTTGGTGAGCCTCAGTCGGAGTGTCATAATCCGTTCATTGATGCCAACTGGTACCTCAAAGAGGCACCTTACAAGATTGTTCTTTATAGCAAAGCCCACTCCATGCAATCGGGGTTCATCTATAGATCTTTCCTTCCAGAAATAGGTGTATCCTCCTTTCTCCTCCCTCACCTGTCCTTCATCAGCTCTTCTAGTTTCGGACAAAGCAGCAATATCGATGTTAAACTGACTCAATTCACGAGCACTAATGGCTGTACCTCGCTCTGGTCGGTCACTGTTTGAGTTGTCCATCAGGGTACGTATGTTCCAAGTTCCAAAGTTGAAGAGTTTCTTACATTTTCGATTGCTGAGGTGGTGATCCTACTGGATGTGGCTATCTAGCCAGGGAAAACAGAGGCAAGACTATTTTTAGGGTACCTTTTCTAGCCCCCTCCCCATATGGGGTGAACAGAGTGGATCCTAAAAAGGACTGCTCAGTCATGGATGCAGCTGCCGAGATGCTCGACCTGCCTCAATCCTCGAGCAAGACAATTGTATCACACACCCACTGCCGGTGTGTTGGTCTGTGACTAGGAACTTCCAGATTTCACTGTCCTCTTCCGGTTGCCACTCACCGATCACCACCGGACTTTTGGCTTGTGCAAATGTTATTTTCCCAAAAACTGGAAGATGCCTGTGCGGGACTTCTTTTAAAGTGGGGAGACTGGTGCACAACAGTCACCACACTACCCTTGACAGATAGAGGACTTGAAACCAATGGCATGGACACCATGACAATTGGAAATCCTCTATTTGCTTCAGCCTTCATCCGCCTTCACAGCGGTTGTAACATTACACAACAGTTTCACATCCATTGTTTAGTTATCCTCGTCTGCTCTGCTGTTAGGGACTTCTTGGATCACACTTTGTCTGGAGCCTAGCCCTTGACCATTCTGCCATGGGTAGCCCTAAGGGAGTACGTGACTCAAGGCAGCATCGCTCTCTGGGTCATTGAGACACGCAAGCCTGTCCACCACTACAAGGTGGGATATTTGAGGATAAATCCACCAATGTTTGGGAGGCACTCAGCTACTGTGGTGATGGGATGCGCTGTACGTACCTAGACAGACAGGCTTCATCTAGCCCATAAAACTCATTAATCTGCCCTGGTGCTTCCCAATGTTAGAGTGAATTTATATATGAAATTATAAAACAGAAAATTTGGAACAGAGTAATGGCTCTATTGGGCTATTAGTTTCTGGGACTATTGATCCTATAGAGACAATTTCATGGATTCTAATGAAGTCTATTAGAGTTTCCACCAGGGAAATAAAGGTCCAATCCTGTTTTCCTTTCGCGCGTTGGATGGCATCCATGATTTACCTTAATTCTACTGTGAAGCTGTATATGAGCTACTAACATTCAATTCAGATCTCTCCATGTTGACTAGAGATGGAAACTGTAGGTATGTGGATAGGTGCTGATGTTTGGAAAGTTTAGGGAATTTCAGATTTGATGTCCTTTCTGATACCTGGGGCACCGCTAATCCTTCTGCTTCTATAAGACAAGGCACTTCCCTGGTCCTCTACACATGCCCCACCTCCACACAGTGGTTCCCACCTCAGCAAGCTCTGGTCCTCCAGAGTTGTCATGGCACTCTCTCATATTCCTAATATCCCGGCCAAAGAAATATATCTCTAAAAGAAACAACTACAAGAAGAAAACAAAATTAGTGTAAAGTATCAGAGGGGTAGCCATGTTAGTCTGGATCTGTAAAAAGCAACAGAGAGTCCTGTGGCACCTTTAAGACTAACAGATATATTGGAGCATAAGCTTTCGTGGGTGAATACCCACTTCGTCAGACGCATGTAATGGAAATTTCCAGAGGCAGGTATAAATATTCAGGCCAGAATCAGTCTGGAGATAATGAGTATTAGTGTAGTATTTCTATATAGGAGGAGAAATGTTTCCAGCAACGAGTTTCCTAAATCTTCTGGCATCAATGGCATCTCTGTGATACAACATGGCAACGAACAAATTTAATCTTTGAATTCTAAAATTAGAATAGTATTTCAATCACTTTCCTGATTTTTAAGGTTTTAGTGTGCATGTAACCCAACAAACACATACAGTGTGAGTTATTTTGGATTTCAGACAATGGAATACTCTCTAGTCACTTAATGTGATGGATGAGGCTCTTGGAGAGAACTGGTCATACTGTACTTACTACTGCATCACTTGTGTTTCTGACTTTGTCCACCGAATTGTTCACATAAATGTAATATCATAACTGACTCATTGCAGACTTTCTTTAAGTATACATAATTGCACAGCTTTTATGTCAGTGTTGAATATAGCTCACTACGTGCATAGGGTGGGTATTTGGGCTCATTGAAAATTTTCTGTCAAAACTCTTTGGAACTTGGAAATGGCATTGCTATGAATGAACTTCATATAGAATTACATTTTATATGCATTATAGATTTACAAAAAATATTAGCGTTTGGACACTAAACCCTGAACAATAACAACATTTCAGATTCGGTTAGTGATGGCAATATACTGTTTTGTTCATACTGAGTGATTAGCTGGCCCAATCCCATTACAAACATTGACTTTAAAAACCACAGTCAATGGAAGTTTTGATCAAGTGAGGACTGGAGGATTTGGCCACACACCAAAGAGAATAGCGATGATAACCAAAAATGAGATGAAAAATTGTGTTGGGAGATGCGTGTGTCCTGCTTTTTTTGTCTTGCTCCCTCTCTTCCCTTTGACCCCACTCTTTTTGAGCTGAATGCATTTTTTTTTATCCATTACTCTACTAGACCCTTTCCCTTCAAGTGCACCTGATTTTTAGGCACCTTCCAGATCTGGTGCCTCTTTCTGTCTCTTGATCCAAAGAAATGGTTCTGAAGCCCTTTTCCTATAGCTCAATGTAAGGCAGATAGAAAGTTCCATTTCTGTTTATATTGTATGGCTAAGCTATGAGTAAGGAAAGGCAGGTTAGCTATATCAAAATAGTTTTGTTGAATCAATGGTGCAAATTGTACTGACCTCCACTGTGTGGAAGAGGAGTGGAGGATACAAGCGGTGTACACATTCCTGATCTGCCATATATGTTCTCCAAGGTCCCATCGCCTCCCAAAACAGGTCCTGTTCTCTCAGCTGAAAGAAGGGTACCATAACATAGGTGGACAACGGAAGTGTTATAAGGACTTGCTGAAGGACAACCTAAAAAAATGTAATATTGACATTGATACCTGGGAGACACTTGCCCAGGATTGCATAAAATGGAGTGAAGTCCTAAGTGAAGATGCTGTGGTAGGGACAGGAAGTGGAGGTAACAATGAATAGTTCTTTTTGTATCTAATCCTAGCTCCCGAAATGCCAATACACTTCAACCATTTTGACAAAAAAACAGTTATTTCTGTCTGGTTGCAGTTATTCCAAGTGATTTACACTGTTGTCATTTCCCTGTGTGAAATGTGATGTAATACTGAGTTACAATCACAATGATTAAAATAGGAATTAATTTCAAATACACACTTCCATGGTTATATCAAGGAGATGATATTGATAATAGCCTTAATGTGTACACAAAATGTACAGCATTGGAAGACACTGCAGTTTGCATGAGTGTTTGAATGCTCAAGTCACCACCCAGTAAGTATAAAAATTAAGGCCAGATTGTGAACTTCTGACTCACCTCATTGAATAGTTACTCACATGAATAACTTCACTGGGAGTATATAAAGGGTAAGGTAGTATTCAAAATGAGTAAGGGTTTCACAGTCTGGCCCTTGATGCTATACTGGTCCTGTTTCAATGTCATAAATTAAAATAAGCTCTATTGAAAATAAGCTCTGTTTCTAGTGTTTTCAGGCTACAACTATTATAAATTTGTCTAATCTCCTAACATTACTTTTGTTTTTACAGATTTTATTTAACCTGAAATCTACCTTATTAGTAGACAAACATGTCTATCTAATCTGTGTATCTTCCTCCCTATTCCTCCATTGATCCTAAAGTGGGGGAAGGGAGGAGGAGAAGAGAGCAAGACAGAATACATTAGCACATAGCGTGTGTGTGTATAATATCATAGACAATAATAGCAGCAAGGCCTTCCTGTCTTTGTTTTTGCTTACTTCATCTCTTCATGTTCACAGTTAACAAGCTTGTTCTGTATAAAAAATATAAACATAGTAATTAGTTCGTCATAGGTGTGTCTAATTTGTATTGTCACAAATAAAAAGCAAACACACCACTTAATCTTTTTATCTGGGCTTAATGAGATCAGGAAAGTATTTTCATAATTGAGAAGAAAGATTTTTTTGGGGTATAAAATCTTTTAATGTGAATTGAGAACAAAACAACACAGGCAGGCCCCTTACTCTGAACTCTTCTGTTAAATGACAAACATGATAATAAATAAAAACAATTAGATTATGAGCAGACTCCTTACTTTACAAAGATTAAAATATCTAAACATCATAATTCTGAGTTCTTTACAAGATTACATACAATCTGATTCTAGGTCACACCATTGTGACTGAATAAATAATAATCAGAGTACCCTGCCATTGCCATTAATGAACAAGGGCCTCAACAATCAATGATATGCCAGCTATAAAAACAGATCAGGGCAATCAAGTGCTTCTTCAGCTTAACTGTCACACTATAGCATGCCTCTGCCATTTTGAAATGGCTGAGGAATGCACATATTGCTAACAAGAAAGACTATGAAGCTTGTTTTTATTCATACTATTAGAAATGGACAGTTTTCACTTTAGTGACTGTAACAGGGTAGCTGGCCCATAAATGAAATTGGGTTTAATGCTCCTGTTCCAGGTGCACGCTAGTCTGAGGGGCGGGAGGAGCTGCCTCTGGGAGTTATAAATGCGAGTTCAGAAGCCAGCGAAGGGAGTTCAGAACCCAGAAAGGGAGAGAGCCCTGAGAGTAAAGAGAGCTCAGAGGAAGAGCAGAGCTGGACCAAGAGCTTCAGGGAGGAGATGCGCCTGACGGAGTGAATGTAAAAGTTACCTGGTTGAATAGGGGAGCCAGGTCAGGCTGGAGAAAACAGAAAGCAGTCAGGGGGTCACCTGTACCTCCCCATGGCCAGAGAGGGCTGGAGGCTGACAGCAGCAGAGGGAGATGCCCACTGGCTCTTTGAGAGGGCTCAAGGTTGGGGAATGATGGAGGGGTGAGCCCACTGATGTTTACAGGCAGAAGCTGGAACCCTACTTGGGAAGGAAACAGGGTGGAGGTGAGGACTGGTGAGAGACACTGGAGCTGTACCTGAGGGCATGCTGAGAGATGCCAGAGCAGTATTTGATGTTGGACTGTTGAGATGAATGTACTTTCTGGACTGTGCTGGATGGATTTTGATTTATAGTAGTGGGACTTTTAACAAGAAGGCTGTACTGAGTTTATCTGAGGAATTGAGAGAAACTGAGGGAAGTGGCCATTTGCAGAGCTGCCCTGAGGGGGCATCCAGGAGGCAGCCACACCTTTACAGTAACCATAATTCATCATTGACGAATGTCTCAATCTCAGCCTATTTTCACTCTCTCTCTCTCTCTCTCTGTGTATATATATATATATGTGTGTGTGTGTGTGTGCATATATGTCACAGAAAGAGAAGATTTGCCATACAAGCCCAAACCATATACTTCAGTAAAATGGCAATGGCCAGTATATGATGCTTTAGAGGAAGCAAAGGAAAGAAAACTAACAACTAATGGCCAAGCCAATTGTGCTATGCTGTTGTCTATGGAGAACTGAATTCCTTCCTGACTCTCTCAGGTGATTAGCTTATACACAGAAGCCTAAGGACTGGTTTATCTTATTTTATTAGCTAATACAGCAGCAAATAGGACCTAACTTTTATTCTTTGCACACCCAGAACTCCCATTAAAGTTAGCATAAGTCTTAGGTGCACAAGGAATACAGGATTGGGCCCATTAATTATGGTAATAAAATTAGCAAATGCTTCTTTCCACGTAGTAGCCATATCTGTCTGAATGACCACCTGTAGCAGTAAATTCAACAAGCGCCCCATACACAGCACAAAGTATTTCCTTTTATTGCATCTAGATGTACTGCCTCATGCCATTTTATTTCACTGAGTGTCCCCTTGTTTACACGTTATGTGACAAGAAAAAAATAAGGAGATCATGACTTGTAGTTTAATTAATCACACTTAATTAATCACACCTCCAAGTGCCTAAGGTAAATACTATATTGAGAAGAGGATTAGTTGGTAATGAATTCATTTGGCAACACTGAAAAAGAACATGTCACCCAACTTTATTAATCTTAATAATCAGCCAGTATCTAAAATACCTAAATAATTAGCACTACATACAATCAGGATGGTTAAGAATCAGAATCAAGGAAGACTCGTGTGGGTTCAAACAGACAAGAAAGTTTTCACTGTATGATGTTTAAAAGCAGGAATGGTCTGTCCTGTATATGAGGGAAGGAAAGGGAAAAGTTCAGCAAATATACTGCCAAATGCGTCCTAAAGTGGAAGACTTCATTTCCCTTCCCTGATGATGGGCAATGACATCAGGTCTATAAAAGCAGTCTGAGGTGTTTGTTATACCATACAAAATATTCAGTACACAGGATTAACTTGCACCGGAGACTAGAAATTGAAAAGTTCCCCTCCTAGAGATTCCTTGGCATCGGCGTCTCAGGAAAGGAAAAGAGAAGGGCATTGCCCCCACAGTAATTGATCCCCTCACCCCCAGGTGGTTTGGGGGATCTGTGTTTCCCAAGGCCTCCATCTACTACTACTCCCAAACCCTGCCCCCTTCTGGGAGGACCCTCCATCCCACAAAGCGGTAAGTCAGCCTTAGCTTAGGTAGGGAATCCCTGCAGGAGGGACAATTCTGTGGTGAGTAGCCAGCCCTGCTCTCTTCCAACCCGCCCCTTCTGCAGCCACGCATTATGTCTCTATTTTAGAAATGTATATGGCTCCCACTACTAAAGGACCCTGACAATCTACAGTTACAGGGGACTGAACCTTCAGTCTCTTTTCACGAGGATGGAGGGTGGGAGGGGAAATTCCTCCCTCTTCCATATGGAAGAATTCCAGGGAACCTCAGTGAGTGGAAAGTTATTTCCCCAGTGGGAATAACCTATGAAGAACACAGACTGGCATCCTGTGACTTGCATCTAACAGAGTGCAAAGGTGAAATGAATCCTGAAATTCAGATGAGTAAAGGTCTTCTTGGTGTAATTTCATTAGCTGGAATGGTATTCCTCCAACTCTGAATTTGACCTAATAAGTCTATTAAAAATAACACCATCTCTCCTGTGGATGAGATCCTATCCCAACCTTAAAATGGGTTCAGAAACCTGTGGTTGTGTATTTCCCCTTATGTGGAGGGAAGGTCAGAGGCACCATTGAGCACAATCTTTATATATGACACCTATCCTAGGAAGATTCAAAACCAAATGTTTTGAAAAAAGAAATCATATCATTCCCTTTGGTTTATATGTTCCGGAGTCCTGATAATTCTAACTAAGGAATAGCTGGCTTTGACTCCATAGTTGAGGTTGAGCTGAATTTTGCACTCAGAGCAGGCATTGAATATTATAGTGACTGATTTTTGTGATTGTTTCTGCAATGGAGAACCATTTTGTATTTGCCTTCACATGAATTAATGGCATAGTTGTTGGTAACTGAATGATCCTGTAAAGAAGAAATATGGCATTCAGTGGTCTAATGTGCAGTTAACAGACTCTCTGGGAGCACAAAATAGTATGTAAAGTAGTAGTAATTGCATTTAGCTTTTTATCTGTGGATTAGCTGATTTTAGAGAAGGCTTCCATCCTGGATCTGAAAACACCCAGTTGCAACACCCCATTATCACATCAAATGCAGTCATCTCATTAGTCTATGAAGGGAAGTGTTTATTTCTTTACCTTAAACCTTATTTTTCTCAGTTTTTAAAATCAGAATACAGTAATTTATCTATAGGAAGAGTAATACAGCAATGCATTGTACGTCAGCATTGAAGTTTGGGCAAGTAATAATGAATAAAGTCAATACTAGACAAAGTTGGTTAAAAAAATGAACAGTCTAACACCCATAGCAGAAATATGTACCCTAGAGTACCCTAGAGCAGCCTCCCTGAGAAGTTTAAGACTTCCTGGAAATAAACTTTTGAAGCACAACAGATTTAGATAAAAAGCTGGTGTATGTGTCTTCCATGTGCCTTTAAATTCTATTAAAATCAAATCTGACTCAACTCATTCAGATCAGACCTGTTATCAACAACACATGGTCTCGGGAGACCAACATTTGTCCAGTTAGGGCTTCCTTCATTAATCGTCCACCATCAAGAAAGCCAAATCCAAATCTGTGGAGAAAAAGCAATTAGATATTTTAAGCAGCGATAAGAACACCACAAATAATCAATTTCTATGGCATTAGCAGCTACCTGGTCCAGGAAAAGTCTATAAAAGCTAGAATTTATTGCAGAACACCAGACAGCTTACAGAGCATTGATTCTTAGTAGTGTGCATAGATTGCTGGATTTAAAGAGCAATCCCTAATGATTCTTACCTTGAAGGTTTTTTTGTTTTAACTTTTTAAAAAGAATACAGGGGTAAGGGGTTCATAAATGCAAAATTATAGCAAAATGAATGTCTTATGAGTGTTATATTACATTTGTTTACCTTTCACAAGAAGAGGCAAGGAGCATACTATTTGGTAGCAATTAGATATAATTTGATGCATGGAACCTCATACAAGAGGAGCAGCTACTTACAATTCTCATACACTATGCTTACAAACATATTTATTCTGCTTATTTTTTAGATGTTTACTTCACCTGAACAAGAAAAGGACCAGAAACCATTTTTTATGTAATCAGAAGATAAACCAGTTTCCTTTGAAGCCTACTTCCCCCCCCCCACAATTATTAAAGTTTGTACCTGACAGAATTTTAATCCACATTAATTAGAGAGAAAAATATTCTTAAATGTTTTAAAAATAGCATGGAAGAACTCTCACAGATTTTTGAATAATATTATTTTCCCCAGAATTATTTAGCTGCAATACTTCCGGAGAAATGATTTCTGAAAATAGATGGTTATCTTTAAAGTTTAAATGTGAATTTAAATATTTCCAAACATTAGCATTTAAATACTGAAAATTCTTGAGCGTTTGAGCAAGAGCAAGTTTAAGTAACATGATACACTTTTACTAATCCTAAATCAAATAATTATGGAAATATAGAAAACATGACAACGAAGGTTCCTATCTTGAAGGACTTATGTACTGGTGTAGCTTTGTGAATGCGAGTAGTGTCATTGAGTTCAATAATGCTACTCCCATGTGTAAAGCTACTCCATTGTGTAAGTGTTTGCAAGATCAGGACCTAAAATGTTATGGGTTTGAACTACTTTTACTGAGAAAAATGTTAGCCATTAATTATTGAAAACTAAAATATCTGTCTTTGGATCCAGGATACTATAAATTATTACGATATGAAGAAAGAGTAAGCAAACTTTTCTCATTCCAGAATTGTGATTGCTGCCATACATGGATGATTGCTGAAATCCAAACACAAGCTGAGGAAAAAGAGAATGAACTAAAAAAAAAAGTTATCAAGATAATTAAAACTTTGCAACAATTCAGTAGTGGTGCTGATAAAAACAGCACTGCTGGTTGAATGCAAATAAGATGGTAAAGGCCCTGTTTGGATTATGGTAATTACTCAGTCTGAAGTTAGCTCAAACCACACACATATACACACACAGCAGTGGAGTGGAACCCGACAACTATACTTGGCATGTGATCATAAAATTCCCTGGCACACTATCAGAATGCCATGTGGAGCTATTTGTACAGTTAGGTATAGAACTCTGCAGTACAGGAAATACCATCGGAAGTACTGCTGACCCTGTATGGCCTTCAGTGTGAGGCTGCTTCCATACTTATCACTGGCCTGGATTCAAATGGGATCTCCGGAGAAGGCAAATCAATTGAACACATGTTTGGTCTAAAAATGTCATTTTAGAATATGCTGAGGTATTTCCTTACGTTAGACCATTTTCTTTGCCCCAAAGATTTGTCAAGTGCAATTGAATGCATACACATCACAATATACACTGTTGCCAGAGCAAAATAATTTCAATGTGTCCTTTAGTACCTCGATAAAATACAGACAGTCAGTGTTAAAACGAGATGCCCTGTGAAAGTCCTGTACATGCTGGCATTCTGCATTTCTTCCAAGAATTTGTTTCTTTTAAATTTGATATCAGTCCAAATGAGCAGATTTTGTGTAAGAATGAGGAAGACAACCAAGTCAATCTCTCCTCTTGCCTCCTAGATGGTTGTGTTGAGCCAGGATAATTTATGTCACAAAAATCATTAAAGAAATTATCATTTTAAATAATTTCAAACTGATTCCTAAATAACAGTCTTATAAAAAAATAACATTACAAATAACTCTATTAATTCATTGATTTAGTTTTACAGAAAGTTCTGATACAAGGAAAAGGATGTGTTTCTTTAGTAATTTTCACAAGTAATATTATATATTGGTATATACATCATTTTTATTACTTGGTTCTTTGATTTGTTCACCTTCTATATTCTCTACAGATGTATATTTTATTACCTAACCATTACTGGTAGCAGCTCCCATTAGTAACAGAACAGTGTGGAAGAGATGTGAACTTTTCTACAAACCATCCCCCCCTCCTAAGTCTGCTTTAGGTCAGCACAGAACAGACTGTTTTGAACAGATCTGAATTCCTGCAGTCTGACCACCATTGCTGAAGGTAAACCCTTACTGTGAAGGGCAAGCTTCCCTGCCTGGCATATTCAAAGCCTATAAGACTATATCAAATCTAGATTCAGACATGACTGCTGATGCCAAGATATAGTCCTTTGACCCACAGACTCATTAGGGAAAGGCACCAGCACCACTCACTTTCTTTTTCCCTTTCTCTCTCTCTGCCTCGACCGCTGTGGCTACTATAACACACACAGTACATCAACCCTGAAACACTGCAAGCTGCTTTGAATGCTGGATTTTATCTGAGATGAGAAAATAGATGTGTTCTGACTAACTGTAAGATCTTGAAGCAGTCTCACTTTTTTCAACAAATACTATTTAAAAGGAATACCATCAAGACTAGTAGGCCCAAAATGTGACCTCTTTGACATATTTTCCTAACTTGTCTTGGCAAAGTCCACAAAATACTTTCTCTGTGATTGTCTTGGCAAAGTCCATGAAATATTTTCTCTGTGATTGTCTTGGCAAAGTCCATGAAATACTTTCTCTGTGATTGTCTTTTGTTTCAAACAAATGCTTCAGGAATGAAAACAAACAAACAAACTAAATACATAAATGCCGATCACCCACCACTTACAAATAACTCTACAATATTAATTGAATGCTCCTTTTTTTTTTTAAATGGAGATATCCTATCTCCTAGAACTGGAAGGGACCTTGAAAGGTCAAGGAGTCCAGGCCTCCCTGCCTTCACTAGCAGAACCAAGTACTGATTTTGCCTCAGATCCCTAAGTGGCCCCCTCAAGGATTGAACTCACAACCCTGGGTTTGGCAGGCCAATACGCAAATCACTGAGCTATCCCTCCCTCTCTTAATGAATACACTGTGGTATAAAATAATTTAGTAAAAAAATATATTGCAGTTTGAAGA